ATCTTTTTTTTATTATTTTAATAATTTTTATCAACTTTATAGCTTTTGTTCTATAATTTTTAATTTTTTTGATACAACATAGTATTACGAAAAATGTATTCCTAGTTTAAAAAAAGTGGCTTTTAATTTTGCTCATTACAAAATGAGAGTCGAAGTCATTTTTTTAATTAAGTGAAATTATTTTACATTATTTTTTAAAGCACTTTCTGCAAATATTTTTCACTTAAACGGTTTAAATGTAAAACGATTTCACTGCCATGGCAAGTGGTTATCAATATTAATTGGGTTTGAGTATCTGGAGTGTGTTTAACGTTTGGTAAGCCGTGCAACTGCTGCCTCGTGTCCTTGCATTAAACTGTACCGTGCATGTTTGCGTATTTCGGGCAACTGGTGTACAACATTAAAGGATCTACATGATGGAAAATATTTTAAATAAACTTTATTTTAATGATGCACATAAATTATTGGTAAACGTGGCGGCTGCTCAGGATACAGTAAAATTTGCAACAACTGCGACGGTACAAAAACGTATGCTGTCTCTTCTGGGAATCGGAAATTGTTTACAAACAATTTATTCTCACTTGCATGCAATAATTATTTTAGTGTTATATGTTATATGCACTTTAGTTACATTATAAAAAAAAGTAATTATTTTTGAAAAAATCAGCAACAAATTTTCATTGAAATTAAAAAATTTCTTTTTACTTAAACCATTTTAAATATTTTATGTTTAACTATTAACTTCATTTTTTCGTCTGCTGAAATGTGGTTTTTTTAAGGTTGCAAGAATTCAAATTGTTTCAGTTTTCATTTAATGTATTATAAAAATAAAAGTTGTTCTCAAGAATTGAGAATATTCTTTTAACAGATGTATAAAATATTTTATTTTGGCATCATACTAATTACAAATAAATAATTTAAATGATATGTTCTGGGTTTAACATGAAAGAAATAATAATCTCAAAAAGGAGATTATTTAATACAAAATACTTTTGATATATATATTACTTCGTAATTAATATTTAACTCGATATACCTTTCCAAAGATACTCCCAACCTTTTTAACTAGTTCATGTAGTAAAACGTGTGAAAAGCTTCTAGTTATTCTTTTACAACAGTCATAGGACCTTTAGTTAAACAGAAATTGTGCATTTAATGAGAAGTTTTAAATTGGAACAGAAATATTCACTGGATACCAAGTGGGATCAATTAATATGAAACTAAATTTGTAAATTTTAGCTATTGCAATTGTTTGGGCGAAATTTGAGTCTGTGCGTTGTCTTTATGCAAACAAATCCTTTTTCTTTTATAAATAGGGATGTTTTTTTGTTGATTTCCATACTCAATTTATGTAATAATGTTGTATATTCACCTGTTCTTCTTCGTAGCTCCTATCATAATGATAGATTAATTTATAATCAACTATTGTGAATATGTGCAAATGTCCATCTTCTTTATTTTAAACATTGTTTAATGTTTTAGTGACCCCCGGATATATTTTAGCGATTGTAATATCTCTGTATGCTAAATACGGAGCCATTGCGGAGCTCTTTCTAGACTTATTTATTTTTATTTTTTTTTTTTTGATATTATCAAATATCATATGATACACTGTTTTAATATGTATATGATATTGTCAATAGCGGCAGTCGAAAACAATCTATATCAACTAGGCGGGTAAAAAGTTACCTATCCGCTTTTAAAGTTACTTATCTACTTTTCGACTTTTGTATGTGATGTTGTAGAGTCTAATTTAGAGATTTAACTAACAACAGTGTATGGCAACTATTTTTTAAATACAAAATTTCAACTGCTGTATGGTACATGTTTTTCTTTGTTTTGCTACCACTTAAAGTCGACCAGTAAAATAAATTATTAAAAACTATTTCGACAGTAAAAATAGGTAAATATCTCTAGTTCTGCATTTTTAAATTTTAATAAATTGAAAAAGTGTGAAAAATTTCAACGTACAATTCCAAAACACCCTACGTATAAAAATAATATATAATATCCTCCAATTGGTCTAATTTTGATTTTGTATAAATTAATTACTACTGAAAAAACTGTTATAAAATAATGGTATAACAAATAAGCTAATCAATCATTTAGTTCATTTTTTGTTCCTATAATCCTCGATGTTATTTATAAAAGTGAAGAGGAAATATATTGAACATTTTATACAACATGTTAAGCTCTTATAATTCCCTTTACTTCTATCATGCTTGTACCCAGTACTTCACTTAGGTCAAAAATAATGGAAAATAAATCGGTTTTAGCTAAATACATTGAAATCATAAAACTAAAAGAGAACCATATTATACTATATTATCCCAGGTTTACTGGGATAATATACCAGGCTTAATACAATCCAAATCACTTGTTGGTACCTATAACAATAAGATATACCAGGATTGTAAAAACTTAGAATCATCACAGATATCCTAACAGGGCACTCTAAACTAAAATACCACCTTATAAGACTGGGTATACTTACGGATGCAAACTGTAGATTCTGTGAAGAGAATGAGGAGTCTGCCATACATGTGCTGTTAGAATGCCTTGCGCTAATGCATATACCGTATAGGCTCCTGGGAATGTATATTCTTACGAAAGAGGCAATAAAACTCTTTAAAATAAGTTATATATTACTTTTTATTGACGTAACAGGGCTTAGACAGCTACTCTAAATACTCTAAACCCAGAAGGGGACACAATAGACTTGACGATCACAGTGCCACATCCCTTAACAATAATAATAACAATAACTATATTGAAAACACAGAATAGAAATTAGAAAAACAGCTTTTGTATAAATTTGCTAGTTAATTTGCTAGTAAACCACATATAAAAATACGTACATAAGTATAAATATGTATCGTGTCTATTGCTAAGATATTACTTTTTTTTAGTTTCCAACATCATTTATCCACCTAATTTATAACTGTCATAATTCTATTGATTTCCCTTTGACTTTCAAATATTAAAAAATAATAAAACATATTTTCTTTTTACTTTCATAAAAAGCTATTCCATTTTACAACACAATATCGAATAAATTTTTTTGTAACATCTGACATAAAGAGATATTAAACAATTGACAGGAAAATAATTTTTCGATTTAAGAAGTGTAATAAGTTCATGTCTAACTGAACATTTCACTTATTTTAGAGGAAAATGCGGAACACATTTGTGCCATTCCTCTTTCACTTTTCACAGCAATAGTTAAAACGTCAACTAAACGATGTCATATTTTTCTAGATATCAAAGCACAAACCAACTCTGTAAATACATCCTTCCTGCCTTAAACTATATCCCTCGTCATCAACATGACTTTGTTTTTTTATTTTATATGTTTTTTTTGTGGTATGTGTTTTTTTAACATACAATTCATTCACTTAAATGCTTAATATATTTTTATATACTAGTTAAAAAAAATATTTTTATTTATTATTTTAAAAATATTTTGATATATTATTTTAACAAGTTTTAACAATATATATTATTTTGAAAATATTTTTAATGATTTTAAATTTTTATATATTTTTAAATGATTTTGAACAATTACTTATTGTTTACAATTAATTAAAAATCATGAATTTATCACTTATTATTTACCAGTCAATTACTTCAATATCAGTTGTCACGAAACATTCATTTAATAAAATTGTTTTTACGAAGTCATTGAATTTATTTGATTGATTTGACATATAAAATAAATTTAAGATAAAAATTAAGATTTATTTTATTTTTAATAAAATTGAACGATTTTCGATCAGAAGTTAATGTTAAATTCGTCTATTAAAATAAATAATATTTACAGTTCTACAAAAATAAAAGAAATTGAAGCAATAATTAATTTTTAAACTCAATATAAGCTAATTCAATCAATTTCACAAAATGTTATTGTATTAATTGATTCAGATAAAATAAAAATACCATAATCATATGTGCTTGCGACTGATCTTAACTAAACAGAAGAAATTGAGCTCCTTAAAGGTGCTATTGTTTGTCATTGAGGATTTTTTAATATAACACACGATTATGCAATTCTGACTTAGATTGAAACCGGACAGTTGAAAAGAATGTGACGAAAACTGCCTCAACTGCCTCCAAGTAGAACCGATACTCTATCTCGTATGGTTATAATAACCTGTCAGATAAATTGTCAACAACCTCAGCTCGGTGTTACTGTTATGATGAACCAACTCTTTAGCTTGGTGATTACTTTGATTGTCACGTTCTTTTATCAGTTTTTTTTTTTGGGCTCAACATATTCTACAAAATCTCTTCGGGCCATTTAAATGGTTGAATCAGTCCGTTCGAGTTTATCCATACACTTATCACTACATAGTGTTTATCCATACACTTATCACCTGACATTACTAGTGTAATATAATTTTAATAAAGGCATATAGGTATATAGGACGTACTTACAAAAATTTTATATTAAAAAAAAAAAACAAACATTAAAAATAACAAGAAGAAAATTTATTAAAATTCTATAAATTTTTGTATTAAATCTATGCGATAAATTAAATAAAAATTAAACATTCTTAAAATACTTGCAGTCTCAAAAATAATTATTTACGAATAATTAAATACAAGAATTATTTCCAAGACCACTGATGATGGGTATTTGGCAATACTTGAAATAGCTGTATGGTCAGCCAAAAATTCAATTAATTAAAATAATATAAAAAATAAAATTTTTGTTGTTGTATTTCACTACTGTTTGAAAAAACCTCTTTATGAAATATAACAAGTTTGCTATTAAAAATAATAGTCACTTCGTCTGGAAAATTTGACGTTAAATTACAACTTACATTCTTAAAATATTAAAAACAAATAAATTTATATAAATAATTTATATAATATATAAATATATATTAATATTAGTATATTAAATTTTACTTTAATCTCATTAAGTCCTTGTAAAATTACCTATAACGATTATATTCAAGACAATGCAATATTAAAATATATGTATTTTATAATTACAGAACAAATTTCCTTAATGGAAATTATCCTGTGGAATAACATAAATGTGGAATGCTGCAAAAATATACTTCTATATAGAGAGTTGATATTTGGTCCATTCAAAATGTGATTTCCTTTCAAAGTCATGCGGAAAAATGCATGAAAATACGTAATATGGTAAGTTTGAAAAAAAAAACTTAGTGAAACCATTGCAATTTATTGAACCAAAAGTTAAAAAATTTTCCACAACATGAATTTTGCCCTAAAGTAAGATTAAAAGATGCAAAGACAAACATAACACATGTAACATTATTTCTACAGTTTTTATATGGTCAAAACCGATTTTATATTATATTTTAAGAAAACCGGAAAATTGTTTTTTTCAAATCGTATAATATTAAAGAAGAACTATGTTTTTCTTACCTATTACAATTATACATAGTTTCAAAATATTATTATAGTTCCTTAAGACCGTAGTTGTAAATAACATTCTAAATTATATAGACCACAGTAACAAAAACAATCATCTTTATTGTGGTTTTGTGATAGCAATCAAATTCAATCAAATTAAAAAACTCCTTGACAGATCATTCAAATATGAAAGTACTATTTTTTTGTTTGCTTTTTTAGATATAAACGAAATCTCCTTTCAAAAATCGTTTTTCAAAAAGTATGGAATACTTATACTATGTAGATTCCTTATATTGTGAATTCGATTCTCAATTTTAATATCTAGATTTCTTGTATAGTGAGTTCCATTTCCTTCTTTTGGTTTTTTTTTCACGAATCTGCTTATTATACAGTTTAAATAACATATGTATATAGCCACTAAGCAGAATTGTGTGTGATGAAAACAAGAGGTCTATGGTTTAGATTCCTCTTTAATTCCACTTCATAAAATATGAAGTAGAAAATACGATAGATTTTTTTGTGTTGTGTACTGTCAACACAGATGATAGTCGTTCAAGTAAGAAAAAATCATATTTTATATGACTTATATATATTTGCTTTTAAGCATTATCGGTTCTTATTTCTTTTGAAGTGACTAAGAAGCTGTCATGACGGCAATTTCCAAAAATTAATCAGTCAAACATCGACGACATTTGATTCCAACGACACGCAAAACGGTGCAACTTGCCATATAATGTGCTTAACAATCCATTTATTCCGAAATCAATTTGTTAACAACTTTATTTCCAGAAGTGGTTCTGTTAACTGATCTGTTAACATTCCATGTGGAATGTTCATGCCACCATAGACACCAAACGGCCACATTTATTTAAAAAAAAACTGAAGAATTGAACTGATCGAATGAATCATTAATTAAGAAGTATCAGTTTTCTAGTCAAATTCTATTGACCATTGTAGTTATTTTTCATTAAGAAGTTTTAAATGAAAACTAGGCCGTGCGTTAGGTCAAAGCAAAGTTATATAAAAATATATCACAGAGGTGCATGTCCATTGCATACGTTAGTTAAGATTAAATTTTAGTATAGTTTTTTCCCAAAAAATCGAGAGAAAGCTAATAGGTATCAGCGGATGCAGTAGCATGATGCTTCCTAAGATTTATTTCGCTATAATTTTGAACAATTAAATCTAATTTTTTATGAAAAAATGCATAACTTCTGTTTAGTGTAAGTAATAGAAATGGATAATGAGGAGAATCTTCATATCTCTAATAAGATTTTCAGATTTTCAAGCAGTCCAGATTGCAACGAGTGCTCTTTTGGTTATATGTCATATACCTCCATATACCTATTTTCTAATTAATTTAGTCATTTTTGAGCGATGTTTACGTGATATCGCATTTTTTCCAAGAGTTATTTCGCCTAAATTTTGAACTTTTAAGTCTAACTATTTTGTGAAAAAACGCATAACTTTTGATTAGTCTAAGTTATAGAAATGGATAATGAGAAGAATTTTCATATTCTATTAAGATTTTGAAATGTTTAAGTAGATTTGAGCGACGTTTACGTGATATCGTATTTGGTTAAAATTCAGTCATTCCAGAACAAACTTTACGAAATTTGAAGATACAATTTAAAGCTACATCGATAGAAATGGGAAAGGAAATTCCTTAATGCATCACATAATTATTGTTGTACTAAAAAGTAAATGTAAATTAAAATAAACTTTTTAGAACTCTTCTTTTGGTCAATAAAAATAAATTTATAATGAGAAAGTTAAGAATTCACATAAAAATTCAAACAGTTAGATAAAGTTAACAAACTAATAGCTCGTCCGTGGTAGAGTACACTTAAAGCGATAGTGCATTAAATGTTGCAAATTTGACTACCTTTCACGTATGTGCATCAATTCTGTAAAACAAACTGTAAAGTGCATTTTGTATCTGATATGTATGGATATGCATGCTGATATTTAGGTCGTGAAATTGCTATTGAAGTACATCTACATCTACTACACTCTAACAAAAATGGCATATAAAATGAATATTGGCAATCCTTACTTGAAATGGGATTTGATGGTGAGCGCATACGTTTATCTGGTGTAGTAGCTGGTAAACATTTGTTGACTTATAAAGGTACTACATTTGCACTAAAATAGAAACCACATATCATGAAAATATAAATTTATTTTTTAGTTTTTTTTTTTAATGTGCAATTGCAACAAGTGAAATTCGACCACATCTGTTTGTACTGAAGAATTACTACAAATTGTGGTAGAACTTTATGCTACCAAAATTTGTAGTTACTTCAAAAGAATATATTTCATAATTTTGCTATGCTATATTTTAAGCACATGTGGTTAAGTTGCTGGAAAAATTTAGTGTTCCATGAAGCTTACTTTTAAAGCATTGAATGAAACTTGATTTCTCATGTAGTTATTATTTAAATGCATAACTTAATCCATTTAAAATTAATTAAATATTTAAATAATTAAGCGTACTAATTACTGAATTAAACTCGTATTATTTATGCGATAGAATTTGAAATATAATCTACACGGATATAACATACCTTGCGATAAATCTGGTAAATAGGTAGTTAAAGAAATCTGGTAGATACGTATACTATAAGCTATATTTAATAAGAAAAATAACTTAATAAAGGAAGAAGTGCCTATTTATTTTTTTTCGTAGAATATTTCTTTGAATTTTAGCTCTGCACTAAAGAACAGCTTAATTGATTTGACGATAGTGAATTGCGATCTGTAAGATATATTTCCGGTAGCATTGGATGTATGATTCCCTTCTTATTTGAACAGAGATTTATTAAGTAAATAGATTAATATTAATATGTTAATAATATTAACACTGTCTTTTGGTTTAAATGCTCATATTTCCGTAAATTTGATTTGATTCAGTTATAGTTGTTAGATTCATTTATAGACAATTGCAGAATACAATTAGAATATATGAATCGTAAATGTGAATTAAAATAAACTTTTTAGAACTCTTCTTTTGTTCAAAAAAAAATAAATTAATAATGAGAAAGTTTAGAATTTACATAAAATCGTATGAATCGTATACTCATATCTTTATAAAGTGGTATGTAATACGGGTATATACTGTTATAAAGATATGTATAGAAATATACTTTAAGCAAATATTAATTGCATTCTTATTCATTATTAAAGTCTTATGTTTGTAAATATTAAAAGCAATATTGATGTGTTTTTATATAAATCCTACAAGGAATACAGCTCAATCTAACATTTAATTAAAAAACTTAATGGATTTTATTAATTTAAAATTTAATTAATTCCATAAGTATTTGTACATATAATTTTGTTTATTATAATAAACAAAATTAAATAAAAATTGACAAAAATTTATACATACATAGATTTAAACCATTACACAATTTTAATCTTGCAAGGATGTCCAATTTTGTGTGGGTGACTTATTCTAATTCTTTACTCATTTATTTATCTGTAAATAATATACAGGAATATAAAACTGTGTATATTCGTATAAATATATTACTTTAAAAAAATAATCTTAAATGTTTGTAGTAGATTGATACAATTAAAATTAAACCGAACAATATAATATAAATATACGAATTAAGAATTAATTAAGCGGAAATTCTTAAATACAGATATATTGCGGCTAAACGTGCGATTATAAAACAAAAAAAAAATTAATGGCTTTTTATATATAAAAATAATCAAAAAAAAAGGCAACATTATTCTCCCTAACCCCGTCTCTCTGAAAAACTGACTAGTATTCAGGTGTAAACTTTCGTTGCTTTTAATATTTCTCTAATTAAAACTGTTCACTTAAGCGAGTAAAATTTTATTTTATGTTTTCTTTGTGAGAAAATTGTAAAGTTTTTCCTAAGGACGTTGCTGTGAGTTTTCTTATTTTACGGAGCAGCGACAGTCGGAAATGAAAATATTCTATTCGTTGTCGGAATTATGAAAACGTGCTGCCGTTGTTGCTATTGTATTGAAAAAATGGCAAAAGGACTTTCTAATTGGTGTCGTTATTTTATTTAATTTTCATTTGCTAATAATGTAATTTTATAGCTTTAAAATGCCACTTAAGTTAAAAGTAAAAGTTTAAAAGATATTTTTAAAAACGCTGAGACAATATTTTTTATTAAAAAATATAAGAATGATAAATGTTACAACTTTTTTCAGAGCATTAGATTAAGAAAATTAATTTACTCTTAATGTTACAATAAACATTTTTTTATTTTATTAACAAACAAATAAAGACGTAAACTTTTAGTTTTAATTGTTTAAAATATATATTTTTTTGATATAAAAAACTTTGATACATTTTATTTGTTTTTGCTTTTGTATTGATATCCATCGTTTTGTTTGAGACGTCAGAGCTGATTTGTTTTGGTCAAATTTGGAGTTTGGGCAAATTATTTTTGTTGCTGCAATAATGCAATAGTTTCTGTCTTATTTTTAAAATAAATAGATATACAACAGCTATTTAACTGCACTTAAAAGTTTTTATTTATTTTTATAAATATTTATTTTTTTTTTAAAACTGCGTCAAGAAGATCCCTTTTGTTGCATCATCTTAGACCTAACTTAAAAGCTAACAAAAAAATTTAGAAAAGACAAATAAACAAAAAAAGATATAAAAAAAAATAATTAAAAAATAATTAAAAAATAATTAAGGAACAAAATTAATTTTTATTATTTAACAATTTTTATTATTTTTGTTTTTATTATCTGTTTTATGGTTAACATATATT